ATGTCTCTTAGGCTAACTTCTATTGCTGGGGAAGCTGGGACATAGGTCTTCAGTTTAACAGATGGAATTTAGGGTAACAACCATTTCTTCCTCTTGGGGCTTCCATCGATTGGATTGCCGTATGGAATCTGTGATTTGCTATTTTCTAGTGGGCCCTGTGATCACCAAGCTTGGTTAATAAAGACTCCTTAATAAAGCTGAGACTTGTCTGGCGTGATCTCGCTCGCACCCTGGAACACTGATCCAGATACTTGCTGGCAAAACTTCACCCGGACAGCTGCCCGATTCATTCTGTCCTCCATGGCATTAGCTGTCCTCTGCAGGTCTCAATGAACCGGCTGTGTCCCCCCCCCCGAACATCTGGGCACGCCATCCATTGCACAGACCTCACTAACCAAGGAGACCCACTTCTGGCACACACACTACATGGTCTGACCACAGATGCTGGTATTTCCACCGTGGTTGGAGTTCTAAGTCCAATGATCCAGTCAGGAGGGCCCCCCACCCCGACCCCCCCTGAAAGTGACCTCACCAGAGGTGACCCCCCCCAGACTTGACTCCTGTGTGTGCCAGCCAGTGCGGGAGGGTCTGGCTCAGTCCATCACCCACAGCAGCTTACCCACTGTGGGGTGGCTACTCCCCACCGCTGAGTGTGAGAGCTGGGACTTAGGACAGGCCGGACTGGACAGGGCTACAGCCTCCGTAGGCCTGCATGTGAGCTGGGTCAGGGGGAGAGGCAGGCTGAGCTAGGTGATCTGTTGACGCATACATGAGCCAGAGTAAATGCAGGCTGGCTGGGCTTTATCACAGCATCAGTTTCCAGATGCTGGGACGGGAGGAGGGGGTGTGTGGCAAAGCCTGTCAGGTTGGACCACAGAACCTCCTGGAAAAGTGCAAGATCTTAGGCTGGGAGCGGGCCTCGTAGGGAAATTGTGGGCATCTCTTTGATGGGCTGAAATGCCTACCAGTGAGCATGAGAACCAGGGCTGGGAGCGGGCCTGGCTGGACGGGTGGTGGCACGCACCAGCTTGAGTGTGAGCTGGGTTGACCTAGACCCCAACACCCATTGATACGTACAAGAGCCAGCTGGGATGTGGGACAGACTGGACCACTCCGCTGCACACACTGGCCGATGCAGGATGCTGGGCTAGCCGGTGGTGGGCCTGGTAGGAGAGATTGTGGCTCACTCTGATGAGACTACATTCCTGCCAGTGTGCGTGAGGGCCGAGCGTGTGGTGGGCAAGGTTGGGCTGGCCCACAGCATCTGTTGGTTTGTGTAAGAGATGGGGCTGGGGACAGTCCAGTTTCGGCTATTGTGGCCATTTGGGGAATGAACCAGAAGATGCACAGTTTGTCTTCCCTCTCTCTGCAAGTTTACTTCTTCTTTTTTTTTTTTTAAGATGTATTTATTTATTGGAAAGTCAGATACACAGAGAGGAGGAGAGACAGAGAGGAAGATCTTCCGTCCGATGATTCACTCCCCAAGTGACCGCAATGGCTGGAGCTGAGCCAATCCAAAGTCAGGAGCCTCTTCCGGGTCTCCCACACAGGTGCAGGGTCCCAAGGCTTTGGGCCGTCCTCCACTGCTTTCCCAGGCCACAAGCAGGGAGCTGGATGGGAAGTGGAGCTGCCGGGATTAGAACCGGCACCCATATGGGATCCCGGGAAACTTTTTTAAAAAAGTCTTTTTTGGGAAAAAAAATTGCTACATTAATAAAAGAAGAAAACTATTTGAATGGACCATCATCATATACCCTAACTAGGATTAAAAAGTCTTGCACTGCTGTGGCATTTAGGAAGCACCTGTTGTATGCAGGCGACTCTGAAAAAAAAAAAATGACCCATCAGTTCCGTAAGTGAGTCAACCAAGCAGTTGACAGGCTAATAAAGCAGAGCCAAGGGGCAGGGCTTGCGGCGGGGCCCTGCAGCCAGACGCGTGGACACACACGGACAGACACACATGGACACACGGACACGCGCGCACCCGCTGCCAGCTCCCTCCTTGCACGCTTCACCCATGCCGCCTCCCGGCCCCGCCCTCCGGGCCCACCTCTCGTCGCCATTGGCCCGTTGGTCGAGCCTCGGGTACCTGGTTGGCTGGCGCGGCTGTCAGTTAGGGTCGAGGCCTTGATAATCCGTCCCCGAACCTCGAAGGGGCGGGCTCGCGTGCGGGCGCGGCCGGGGCTGCGGCTGGAGGTAAAAGACGCCAGGCAGCTGGCCCCGGGGTGACCTGGTCAGTGGGTGGGTGGGTGGGTGGGCATGGCGTGGCGCGGGGGGCGCGGATCAGGGGTTGGTGCGCTGCAGCCGAGCCCCCTTTTGGGGTTCGTGGGGACGCTGGCGAGCTGGGGAGCCCTGGGACACTGGGGCGCACCAGCTGGGGCATGGAGGACCGTGGGTGCGGGTGGCAGCAGCAGCCGATCCGTGCGCCCCGGTCCCCCTCCACCCCCGTTCGCTCGTTTGGGGACCCCTTCTCCTTTGCCTCTCTTCCTGGACGGGCCTGGGGGGGATGGCGTCCACTTTCTCTGTCCCCCCTGCACTTCCCTCACTGGGCATTGCGGAGCTGGTGCGGGGAAGGGTTGCGGAAACGGTTACTGGAGAAGGGAGGGACGGACGGACAGGCCCCCCCCCCCCCGCCCCCCGGGACCTGCAGACAATGGGCAGCGGATGGAACCGCCCGGCAGCGGCGTTTCCTGGAGGAAACTGCTGTGTCTCCACGAAGTGACCTGGCCCGAGGAGGATGATTGGGGGTTAGGAGGAGGAGACGAAGGGGCAGAAGACCCCTCGGGCAGCCTCTCTCATCATCCCGCCTTGGGGGGGGTGGTGGGTCTCGTGCCCCTCCACACAACGTGCTTGCACCCAGGTGCCCCTGACTCCCCCACCCCCAGCTCCTGACCTTAGGATTAGCCGCTTCCACCCCACCCCCACCTCCACCCTTCAAGTTTTCTGCATCCCGAAATAGCCCTGGGGGGCGGGAGTGAGGGCGTGCGGCTGACGGCCTAATGAGGGGGTCTCTGGCAGAGGATCCGGGTCTAGCTGTGACAGCCCCAGCAGGCAGGCAGGCAGGCGGGCAGGCGGGCAGGCGGGCAGGCGGGCAGGCGGGCAGGTGGGCAGGCAGGCAGGCCGGGAGTGGTGTGCAACTCAGGACAGCTCCATGCCTCCACTTGAGAGAGATGGCCTGGCCGGGAGCCGTCCTGGTGTGCACCTGCCTGCCTCTGCTCAGAGCCAACCCCGTCAGTCGGAACCCAGCAGGTGCAGGTGGCAGGGCCAAACTCTACACACACACACACACACACACCAGCACCATCAGCACCACCGCCACCAGCACCACCAGCACCACCACAATCACTGCCACCACCACCACCACCACCACCACCATCACCGCCACCACCACCGTCAGCACCATCACCGCCACCATCACCATCATTACCACTACCAGCACCACCATCAGCACCACCAGCACCACCGCCCATCCCAGTCTCTCTGTCGCGATGATAGGAAGGCCGACCTCAGAGACTTCTGAAAGAATTTCAAACACCCATATCACAGCCGTGCTAAGAGGCTGACCTCCAGCAGCAGGCAGCAGGTCTGAGAGATGGTTATCCCTCCTTGGAGTATCCACTCCTTTGGTTTTAGGGACAGCCCCCAGCTGTGGTCTGACAGTCTGGGACCTTGGCTTGGGGTGTGGCCAGGTCACTAGAGGGAGAAGCAGGGGGCCCACCCCTGTGAGTCATACGTCAGCTGAATGTTTGGCGGGGTCCAGGCCCCCCTAAAGCTCAACCCTGGGTGGGGGGTTTTTTCCATTCCTGAATTTCCCAGCAATTTCCTGAAAACATGTCAAAAGTTCTCTGCCCTGCTGGTTTAGCAACTCGAGGCCAGTGTGAGAGGACAGGAAGCACCTGTCTGGGACTGGAACTGGAACGAACAGCTGGATTGGGGGGAAGGGGGGAGACCAGACGTCAGGGACCCAGGCTGGACACAGGCAGGCAGTGTAGGGTGAGCTGGTGAGGCCGACGGGCACTTAATGACAGAGAAGGTCTGGCACACGGGTGGGCATCGGAAGGGGGTAGCTGTAGGGTAGCCATGTGGCTGGCACAGGGAGTGGGCCAGAGAGCAGGGATAGACGGGGTCTGGCAGATGTCAAGGCCCCATCTGGCCTGGAGGTCCTCCTTCTTTTTTTTTTTTTTTTTAGGTTTATTTATTTTTATTGGAAAGGCAGATCTACAGAGAGGAGGAGAGACAGAGAGGAAGATCTTCCATCCGATGATTCACTCCCCAAGTGAGCGCAACGGCTGGTGCTGCACCAGTCCGAAACCAGGAGCCAGGAGCTTCCTCCAGGTCTCCCATGCGGGTGCAGGGTCCCAAGGCCTTGGGCCGTCCTCCACTGCTTTCCCAGGCCACAAGCAGGGAGCTGGATGGGAAGTGGAGCAGTCGGGACAAACCCATATAGGGTCATTCCTTCTGTTCCTCCTATCTGTAAATCTGCCTTTCTAGTAAAAATTAATCAATCTTTAAAAAAATATATATGTGGGAGAGAGAGATATTGCATCCACTGACTCACTCCCCAAATGGCTCCAATGCCCAGGGTTGGGCTGGGCTAAAGCAGTTGCCTGGAATTCTTTGCGGTGGCAAAGATCCAGGGGGGTTTTCCTCTGTTCCACCTCACGCTAAGTGCAGTTTAGGAAATGCTGGCGTGCAATGCAGACTGTACCACCAGGGACCCCCCCCCCTCCACACCTGAATCGCGCTTTCAGACTCTCCCCGGGGACAGACCCAACACCCAGGTGATGGCTGACACCTGGGGGGGGTGCCCCCTACATTCAATGCAAACCTTGGAGGTCTCTTAAAGGGATGAAAGAAGGTGCAGGTGTGTGTGTGTGGCGGGGGCAGCCAGTGGGAGGCACCCTTGTGCATCCCAAAGAGAGGTGGGCCAGGCCACACCCTCACACGACACCCCTCGGGGGCCCTCTTCCAGGGTGTCCGGGACAACGACTCTAGGAATCATGGCCAAGTTTGCCCTGAATCAGAACCTACCTGGTGAGTGTGCGCGTGGTGACCCCACTGTGGACCCAGATCCACGCTGTGTGATGCGTGGACCCAGCCCTGCGATGCCTTCCTTGGTTTCAGTGGTCAGACAGACTTTCCCAAAAGGCCTTTGGGGGCCAAGGTCATGCATGACTCCGGGGTTCTGTCCACACGTGCAGCCAATTCCCACCTCCTCCTTCCCTCCTTCCCTCCTTCCCTCCGCTGGCTGGGGACACACTGGCCCCTTGTTCCCTTCCACTCAGGATCCTTCCTTCTGGAAGCTTCCTGACCCCACCCTTCCCCATGACCTCCGCAGCCAACGTCATGGGCCCCCTGCAGTATCCCATCGGCTTATTATTATTATCAGCCGTAAGCACCATCTGTAAAAATCGTATCTCTGCCTTCTGGACCAAGGGACAGAGCAGTGTTTGGGTGCAGGTGTGCTGAGAGTTGGGGGTGGGGGTGGTTCTTCACACTTTGATACCCACCCCTCTCAACGTCCCCCCTCTCCATACCCGCAGACCTGGGTGGTCCCCGCTTGTGCCCAGGGGGCGCCCGCAGCCCAAGCTCACCCTATTCTGTGGAGACGCCCTACGGTTTCCACCTGGATCTGGATTTCCTCAAGTACGTGGAGGAACTGGAGCGGGGCCCCGCAGCCCGGCGCGCCCCGGGACCTCCGCCTCCTCCACGCCGCCCTCGTGTGCCCCGGTCCGATCTCGCTGGCGTGCGCAGTCCAGGAGCCTGGACATCCAGCGAGTCCCTGGCCAGTGACGACGGCGGAGCTCCGGGCGCGCTCTCCCCTCGTTCGGCCTCGGGGCTCCAGAGGCCACAGCTGTCGCCGAGAGCGGCCGTGCGCAATCCGCGCGTGGAGCATACACTCTTGGAGACGAGTCGGCGGCTGGAGCTGGCGCAGGTGCAGGATCGTGGGTCCAGCCCTTCCCGCGCCGCCCCGCCGAGCCCACGCGGGTCTGGCCTCACCAGTCCCGCCCTCAACACCGCCCTCGCCTCGCCGGGCCCCGCGCAACTGCAGCTGGTGCGCGAACAGATGGCCGCGGCTCTGCGACGCCTGCGCGAGCTGGAGGACCAGGTGCGCTCCCTGCCCGAGCTGCAGGAGCAGGTGCGCGTGCTGCGAGCCGAGAAGGCGCGACTGCTGGCTGCGCGCGGGCAGCCAGAGCCCGACGTGGAGGCTGAAGTGCGCCCAGACAAGCTCGCCCAGCTCCGACGGCTCACCGAGCGTCTGGCCACCTCTGATCGGGGTGTCCGCGCCAGAGCCAGCCCTCGTGCTGATTGCCCTGATGGGCTGGCAGCAGGACGCAGCGAAGGGGCTCTCCAAGGCCCCGACGGGGAGCCCCAGACTCGGGAAGCGGGCATCGAGGCCGTGCCCGAGACCCAAGAGGCGGGTGCCCAGACTGTACAGGAGACCCTGGAGGCCAGCGTGGAGGCGGCCCCCGAGACCGTGGAGGCGGAGGCATGGGTGACTGACGAGTTGCTGGGGCTACCCGAGGCTGCGGAGCGCGAGCTGGAGATGCTGCACGCCAGCCTGGAGCACCAGCGCGGGGTGAGCGAGCTCCTGCGGCGCCGGCTGCGGCAACTGGAGGAAACCCGCGAGGCCACGGAGGAGGCCGCCACGCAGACCTTGTGCAGCTGTGGCGAGAAGGCCACGCAGACCGAATCCCCCTCCCTGGGGATCCAGAACAACCCACCTGGATCCCCGAGTGGAGACAGGGCCGCAGCGCCCGCGGGTGAGTTTTAAACCCCCTCCTCGCTCAACCCCAATCAAGCGGCTGCGGGACTCGAACTCAGCACCCTGGCCTGTTCTCCATCAGGCATCCTGAAGTCCATCATGAAGAAGCGAGACGGGACTCCTGGCGCCCAGCCCAGCTCGGGGCCTAAGAGCCTGCAGTTTGTCGGGGTCCTCAATGGAGAGTGAGCAGTCTCGCCCTCGGGCACCCGGATGGGGTGATGGCCTTATGGGCTGGGCAGTCCTCGGGTTTCCCATCTCTGAAATGGGCACAAGTCGCTTCCCGCCTCACAGAGGCTCACGTCTCCCACCCCAGGTATGAGGACAGCTCCTCCAGCGACGACAGTGACAGCGAGGACACCGAGGAGACGGCCGCCGAGCCCCCCAGGGGCAGCTCCTCTGCCTCGGGATCCAGCTCCGGGGATGACGAGGCTGGCGGGACCGACCCCGGACCCCCGGTTGCTCCCAGCGGCGAGGACTCCCAGGATTTAGAGTCTGAGTCTGAGCCCGAGCCGGAGACAGACGCTCAGTCAGGGGCGCAAGGGAGGTGAGCTGGGGGCCCCGGGGAGGCCTGGGGGACCGCTGCTCCGGACGGGGCGCAATGGCTGAGTCTCCCCACGTCCCGCTTCTCCTCCCTCCTCAGCAGGTGCGAGCTGAGTCCCCGCTTGAGGGAGGCCTGCCTGGCGCTACAGAGACAGCTGAGCCGGCCTCGAGGGGTCGCCCGGGATGGAGTGAGTGCCTTCCCCGGGGAGGCACGCTGGGGGCTTTTCTATAGCCATGTGTATGTGTTTGGGGGCTGGGGAGGGGCGGGAAGCTGTTTTTAACTTGCACCCCTCCCACCAGGAGCCTCCCCAATCCCAGACTGTTACTGGGATCGCTCTCTGGCTGGCTGGCCGCACGCAGCCCCAATCCGGGACTGGTTCCCCTCGGATTCTATGCTGGGACTACCCCAACTGGGACGGCCTCCAATGACCTCGACCCCCGCCCACTTTGCGCGTGTATTCCCTGTCCCCGCAGGGCGCGGCGCGCCTGGTGGCCCAGGAGTGGTTCCGAGTGTCCAGCCAGCGGCGCTCCCAGGCCGAGCCCGTGGCCGCGGTGCTGCGTGGAGTGGAGAGCCTGGGAGTCCAGCTGCTGGCTCACGTGGTCAATCTGGCGGACGGCAACGGGAACACGGCGCTGCACTATAGCGTGTCGCATGGGAACCTGGCCATCTCCAACCTGCTGCTGGATACGGGTCAGAGCCCTGAGGGAGGGAGGGAGGGTGGACGCGTGCGCCGGCCACCCGGGAACGGGGTGAGGCGGACCCGGTGCTGAAAATGGCCAGCAGAGAATGCACGGGTCTCATTTGGCAGGCCCAGCCCGGCCCAGCTCTGCCCCTGCTCCCGATTCACAAGCAGTGGCTACCCTGGGCTCTGGTGTAATCTTGTTTAGAAGCATTACTGAATCCCATCTGCCTTAGTCTGAAATGGGCCTCCCCCACCCTGTTCTGCTCAGGTCCTGGCAGACGGTGATAGCTGAGTGCCAGTCCCCGGGAGGGGACCGGGGCTACCGCTGGGGTGAGGTGGGCACCGGCTGCTGGGCTGGCATTACGGTGCAGGTCAAGATGCAGCTTGCATACTTGAAAGCCATACGAGTGCCCACTTAAGTCCTGACTGCTCCACTTTCTTTTCTTAAAGCTGTATTTATTTTTATTGCAAAGTCAGATAGAGAGGAAGATCTTCCATCCAATGATTCACTCCCCCAGTGAGCGCAATAGCCGGTGCTGTGCCGATCCGAAGCCAGGAGCCTGGAGCCTCTCCCGGGTCTCAAGGCTTTGGGCCGTCCTCCACTGCTTTCCCAGGCCACAAGCAGGGAGCTGGATGGGAAGCGGGGCTGCTGGAATTAGACCTGGCACCCAAATGGGATTTGGGGCATTCAAGGCCAGGACTGCTAGGCTACCACGTCGGGCTCCACAGCTGCTCGCTGCTGTCAAGAGAGCCGTGATGGGCTGAGGGCTGGGGCCCCTGCCACATGTGGCCGACCCAGGAGTTTCTGGCTTCAACCTGGTCCACATCTGGCTGTTGGAGGCATTTGGGGGATGAACCAGAAGATGGACAATCGACCTCTCTCGTTCCAATTCTGCCCTTCAGATAAGTATTTCGCGAGTTAAGACTTTCCATCAGCTGGTTCGTTCCCTAAAACCTTGCAGCAGCTGGGACCAGGTTTAAAAGTAGAGGCTGGAACTCAAAAATTGAGTTTGGACTGCCCACGAGGCAGGGCACGGACCCCGGACTCAAGCGGGAGCCTGAAGCGCTGAGCTGAGCAGAGCCCAACTCCTGTTCCCCCTGTCCCTGCCTGCAGGCTGTCCGGCGAGCCTGGCTCGTCCCCCCAGAGTCCCCCACATTCCCCGTGCACGGTGTGTGTACAAGGACAGCTGTGTCCCCACCTCCCAGCTTCTTGCCCCCTTCCTACCTGGCCCAGAGCAGCACCTTCTCGGCTCACTCCTCCCGGAATGGGGGGTGGCTGTGTTTGCTCTGTGTGTGTGACACTCACAGGCTACCCGAGGCAGGTGACAAAGGGGGCAGCGGGCACTAAGATGCACAGCTAGCCAGGGCTGTTCTCAGCCACTACGGTACAGAGAACAGGGCTGGTCCAGGGCCACCTGGCGAGACAGGTCTCGAATTTGCCCAATTTCATTTTCCTGCCGTTTCCTGGTCTAGACCCGTCTCAGTTCAGGCAAGTGACAGCATGCTGCCCAGTAACCTCGCTTCCCAGGAGCTTGCCTTCGGACTAGAGCCACGCTCTCTGGGAACTGTCTCAGAGGAGCTGGCAGAAGTTGGATGGGCCCCCTTTGGGCTCACCTGCAGAGAAAAGCCAGGGGGGTGTTCCCTGTTGTCAGCAAAGCTTGTGGAGTAGCTGGGATTTGAAGCAGCAGTCACACGGGATGCTGGGGTCACGCACAGCCTGCTGCTCCACCACACCGGCCCCTCCCTGGCCTTGTCTGAAGCTTACATCCTGGATTCATATTATCCTGTTGGATCAGGTCCTTACCGTAACAGGTTCATATTAAGCTGATCCTGTTTGCAGTCATGTCCAAGGGCGGCCGTGTTTGCAGGTGCTGGAGGTCAGGAAGGATGGCCATGGGGATGCGACAGTAGGACTGGCTCATTTGTAAGGCAGAGTCACAGTTGGCACAGGTACCCCCCTGACTGTGTGCCAATGGGGAGTGGTCGCCCAGTTCAGGGGGCAGGCGGCCAGAAGTGAGTCAGTTGTGGCTGACCCTGCCCTGAGCACCTCCTGTGTGCCCAGACTGAAAATCCTGGGCAGGTGGGTCAACTTGGAACTTGACAGGCTTGCCAGCCTTGTGCCTGAAGGGGACCAGTCGCTCTCCCACAGGGGTCTGCGAAGTGGACAAGCAGAATCGCGCCGGATACTCGGCCCTCATGCTGGCCACGCTCACGTCGGTGGGGCAGGCGGAGGACTCGGCCGTGGTGGAGAAGCTCTTCCGCACGGGCGATGTCAACGCTAAGGCCGGCCAGGTATGCGATGTCTGCCCCCCACAACCCTAGTCCCCCATCCCGAGCTCTCCCTTCAAGGAGCTCCAATGCCTCCCCCGCCCTACCCCAGACAGGGCAGACGCCCCTCATGCTGGCCATCAGCCACGGCCGCCAGGACATGGTGGCGGCCCTGCTGGCTTGCGGGGCCGACGTGAACGCACAAGACGCCGACGGGGCCACCGCGCTCATGTGTGCCAGTGAGTACGGACGCCTGGACACCGTTCGGCTGCTGCTGGCCCAGCCGGGATGTGACCCTGCCATCCTGGACAATGTGAGCCGTCGCCGCTAGGGCAGGTCAGGGGACACGGTGGTGCTGCCTCGCACACACCTGACCACCTTGCCCTTTGCCCCAGGAGGGTACCAGCGCCCTGGCCATTGCCCTGGAGGCCGAGCAGGACGAGGTGGCTGCCCTGCTCCACGCGCACCTGAGCACGGGCCAGCCCAGTCCCCAGGTGAGTGCAAGGCGTGCAAAATTATCAAGAATTAATAAGAATCCAGCTGCACACCAGGCTGGGCGAGGCCAAGTGTGTCCTACGCTGCCGTGGCCACTCTCCCAGGGCAGCCATGTTTGAAATCCCACAATGGACCACGACAATCAAGACCACTGGACCTTATAGATGGGGGAATGGGCCAAAATGGGGGGACAAACAGGCAGGCCGGCTCCCCTGCAAACATGCTGGATCCCCCCTTTCCTTCTCTCTAGAGCCAGTCACCCCCAGACTCCCCCACAGCCAGCCCCGCTGAAGCGGAAAGCAGCAACGGTGGAGGGGAGCCTCAGCCACAGTGAGCACGGCCGTCCGAAGTGCGCTCTGGCCCCACCAAGAACCTGCTCCATCCGTGCCCCATTCTTTCCTAATAAAATGTTTATAGGAAACGGGCTTGTGACTTAAACTTTTTTGGGGGGACGGAGGGGGCAGTGGAAGGAGGCAGGGAACTGGTGACTTCCCACCAGAGCCTAGTAAAACCCTGACCCACCCCACAAAGGTTGAACTGAACCCCACGTACAATACAAACACTTTTATTTAACAATCGCAGGCCATTCCGGGGGGGCGTCCAGGAGGACCCTGTAGGGGAGAACCACGCGTGAGCGAGCCCCCTGGCAATGGGACCACCCCTCTCCCGCCCCAGTAGGCTCAGCCAATGCCCCCCCTCCACGCTCCACCACCCCAGTGCCTCCCCGGGACACCCACCAGACCACGGGCATCGGCTCAGCGCAGCCTCCGAGCCTCCCGCTCCGACTCCAGCAGGGTGAGCACGTCGCCTTCCCGCACGGGGCCTTTCACGTTGCGGATGATGGAGCGGCTGGTGTCATCCATGAATTCCACGCGTACCTGTCAGACCGGAAGGGAAGGAAGCCGACTGGGGTTCAGAGAGGATCTGATGGGGTCCCGGGCCGTTGGGGGGGTGTAGATGCTTCCACGAGGGGCTCCCATGGGAGATCCTCCCACGTCTCACAGGTTGCCTAGGCATCCTGGGCCGAGCAGCCAGCCTGCCCTAGCCCACCAGCAGAGCACAGACCCCCGCCCTGATCCCATCCCGGGGACCCTCGGCGTCCAGGGCCGAGCAGCCAGCCTGCCCTAGCCCACCAGCAGAGCACAGACCCCCGCCCCTGATCCCGGCTCCGATCCCGGGGACCCTCGGGGAGCTCGGTGTCAGGGCCGAGCAGCCAGCCTCCCCTGACCCACCAGCAGAGCACAGACCCCCGCCCCTGATCCTGGGGACCCTCGGCGTCCAGGGCCGCGCAGCCAGCATGCCCTAGCCCACCAGCAGAGCACAGACCCCCGCCCCTGATCCCGGCTCCGATCCCGGGGACCCTCGGTGTCAGGGCCGAGCAGCCAGCATGCCCTAGCCCACCAGCGGAGCACAGACCCCCGCCCCTGATCCCATCCCGGGGACCCTCCGGGTGCTCGGTGTCAGGGCCGAGCAGCCAGCCTCCCCTGACCCACCAGCAGAGCACAGACCCCCGCCCCTGATCCCGGTTCCGATCCCGGGGACCCTCGGGGCCCTCGGCGTCCAGGGCCGAGCAGCCAGCCTCCCCTGACCCACCAGTGGAGCACAGACCCCCGCCCCTGATCCCGGGGACCCTCCGGGAACCCCACCATCCCGGCTCACCTGCGTGCACTGTCCCTGGGAACCGGTCCTGCCCAGCACCTTGGTGACCTGTAGATAAACAAGCCGGGGGTCAGCCTGAGCCTCCCCCCCGTCCACCCTCTTCCTCCGGTCCTCTCGACTCACACCCGGGCCGCGGCCTCACCCTGGCGAGCTTGATGGGCTGCACACGACTCGTGTCCATGATGGCGGCTCGGACGCGCGGCCTGGCCGAGAGGAGTCACGTGTTGCGGCCCAGGCTTTTATAGGGCGCGCTAGTCCCGCCCACGTACGCTCTCGCGAGACCGCGCGCGGCCGACGTCACCGGCGCCCTTCAGCGCGCACACAAGATGGCGTCCGCCACTCGTTTCATCCAGCGGCTGCGGAACTGGGCGTCCGGGGTGCGCGGGGCGGACAGGGGTCTCCCCGGGGGTGGGTGGACGGGCCAGGGGGCCGTGGGCTCCGGGCGTGTCGGGGCCCGCTCCCGCTCCGCACGGAACCCGGGTGCTTGGCGGCCTGTGACCCCTGAAAGTCCGCGGTGCGCCTGCTGCCCTCTCAGGCCTGAGTCCCTCCCGGCCCCCCAGCCTGTGACCCCGGACACCCCGGACCCCCCAGGCCCTCCAACCTGGGACCCCGGACACCCTAGACATCCCGGCCCCCTAGACTGAGACCCCCGGACACTCCTCCCCGACACCCCCAGCCTGTGACCCCCGACATCCCTCCGCGACCCCCAGCCTGTGACCCCCGGACACCCCGGACCCCCCGGGCCCTCCAACCTGGGACCCCGGACACCCTAGACATCCCGGCCCCCTAGACTGAGACCCCCGACACCCCTCCCCGACCCCCCCAGCCTGTGACCCCGGACCCCCAGACCCTCCAACCTGGGACCCCGGACACCCCTGATACCCCGGCCCCCTAGACTGAGACCCCCGACACCCCTCCCCGACCCCGCACCCAGCCTGTGACCCCCAGACCCTCCAACCTGGGACCCCGGACACCCCTGACACCCCGGCCCCCTAGACTGAGACCCCCGACATCCCTCCGCGACCCCCAGCCTGTGACCCCCCGGGCCCTCCAACCTGGGGCCCCAGACACCCCTGACACCCCGAGCCCCCCAGCCTGTGACGCCCGGATCCCCCTCGGCCCCCCAGCCTTTGACCCCCTGACACCCTGGGCCCCCCAGCCTGTCACCCTCGAACACCCTTGACACCCCGGGCCCCCCAGCCTGTGACCCCCGGACCCTCCGGGCCCTCCAACCTGGGGCCTTGGACACCCCTGACACCCCGGCCCCCTAGACTGAGACCCCCAGACACCTCTCCCCAACCCCGCCCCCAGCCTGTGATGCCCGGATCCCCCTCGGCCCCCCAGACTGTGGCCCCCAGACACTCCGGGCCTCCAACCTGGGGACCCCCAGACCCTCCAGTCTGTGACCCCCAGACACCCCTGATACCCTGGGCCCTCCAGCCTGTGGTCCCGGACCCCCCATTTCCCAGGGCCCTCCAGCTGTGGCACCCGACACCCCCCAGCCCTCCAGCCTGTGGCTCCAGACCCCCCCCCCCCATAGGTCCTCTAGCCTGTGGCCCTGACACCTCCTGGAGCCTCCAGCCTGTGGCCCCGGGACACCCCAGAGCCCTCCAGTCTGTGACCCTGGGCCCCCCCACCCTGTGGCCCCCGGACCCCAGCTTTTCTCTGCGGAGCCCCCATCCCCATCGCTCCACACGATCTCCCACTGAGTCATCCGTGTCCCGTTTGCCTTTTCCCGTCCCGGGGTGCCCTGCAGCCTCACCTGCTCCCCCTCTTTCTCTAATCTTCCCCCACCTCCTCCCACAGCAAGACCTGCAGGCGAAGCTGCAGCTGCGCTACCAGGAGATCGCCAAACGGTGAGACAGTGTCCCTTTCGACCCCGCTGGCCATGGTGGAGGAGTAGCCCCCTGGCCTGGGGACACGTTGACCTTTGCTGGCCTCTTTCTGGGACAGGCTGTTGCGGACACAGCCAGGCTGGGTAGAGGTGGGGAGTGCATTCTGTCTAGGGGACCCCTGGTTACATGTTGCAGGGTTCGGGATAACCCTGTTGTTGAGTGTGGCCCAGAGAAGGCGCAATGGTTTGCCTAAAGTTCCCTAAGAGGTGGGAAGAGACAGCTAGGGGCCTCGGCTTTGGAGACACAGGTTCTCTTGTCTTGAACGCACCAGGATCCCATATGGGCGCCGGTTCGTGTCCCGGCAGTTCCACTTCCCATCCAGCTCCCTGCCTGTGGCTGGGAAAGCAGTGGAGGACGGCCCAAAGCCTTGGGGACCCTGCACCTGCATGTGGGAGACCCGGAAGAAGTTCCTGGCTCCTGGCTTCGGATCGGCATAGCACTGGCTCTTCCTCTCTGTCTCTCCTCCTCTCTGTATATCTGACTTTGTAATAAAAATAAATAAATAAATCTTTAAAAAAAGAATAACATAGGCAAGCCTGTGTGGATGCCTGCAAGTCCTAACTAAACACAGGTGTCCCGCCCAGTTACTTGCTAAATGGCTTAGAAGTTTTTTGGTTTTTCTTGGCGGGGTAGTAGCGCCTTCTAGCGGTTGTTTTATTTTAAGAATTTTTTTTTTTTAATGGGAAAGTCAGATACATACAGAGAGCTGGAAAAAATCTTCCATCCACTGCTTCACTCCCCAAGTGACCCCAACGGCCGCTGCTGCACTAATCCGAAGCCAGGAGCTTCTTCCGAGTCTCCCACATGAGTGAAGTGGTCCGAGAACTTGGCCCGTCCCCAGCCACCTCCATGCACATTTAGCCGGAAACTGGGACTGGGAGCGGGCGAAGCTGGGACTTGAACCCCGGCACTCGGATATAGGGTTGCCCGTGTTCCACATGGGGGTTTACCTGCCAGGCCCAGTGCCTGCCACCTCGGCTCTCTCCCTCTGGGCAGCGTTGTGGCTTTGAACACTTTTAAGGCCTCGGATTTGTGGGTCAGTTCAACCCAGGGGTGGGTCCCCTTCAGCCACCACTGGCTGCAGGGTCTGGAGGTCGCCTTAAGCGCTCAGCAGGAAGTAGGCAGCCCTGGGCGGGCTCCAAGGGCAAGCTGTTCTTTGTGAAATGAAACTTTGATCCTGGCAGAGTTCTCAGAAGAATTCCCAAGACTTCAGGAAGCTCAGAGGTTCCTCTTCCGGAGGCAGGCCTTGGGATGGGCGCGCTAATATGGCACCCCCCCACCACCACCACCAGAAGCCCCCATGGCAGGGCTGGTGCATTGCCTGGGCCACGACCACTTCCTGCCCTCCCGTCCCCTGCCTTGGAGCAGGTGGAGGCAGACGGCGGCCTGGGCACCTTGGGACCTGAGCCTGCTGCCCGGTCCCTCCCCAGCCCTCCACCCTCCGGGCAGCAGCCTGGGCACCTTGGGACCTGAGCCTGCCGCCCGGTCCCTCCCCAGCCCCCCACCCTCCGGGCAGCGCTCACAGCCTGGCACCCAAGGCGACAGACCTGAAGCGGCGGGACGAGGGGAAGCTGGGCTCCGTTGTTGGTCTCTGTCACAGCTCCTGCCCTTTTTTTTTTCCCCAGCACCCAGCCGCCTCCCAAACTGCCCGTGGGCCCCAGCCACAAGCTGTCCAACAATTACTACTGCACGCGAGACGGCCGCCGCGAAGCCACACCCCCCTCCGTCGTCATGTCCTTCCAGAAGGCTCTGCAGCCAGGCAAGACCCCAGAGAGGTGAGGCCCCCCGCCTCCGCACCCTGCAGCGATCGCCAAGAACCCCAGGGCAGCCACACTGGCCCGCCCTTCTCCATTTGTAAAAGATTACTCTCTTGTCTTTCTTCTTTAAGAAATTTAGTTATGGGCCCAGCACGGTGGCCTAGCAGTTAAAGTCCTCACTTTGAACAAATCCAGATCCCATATGGCCGCCGGTTCTAATCCCGGCTGCTCTACGTCCCATCCAGCTCCCTGCCTGTGGCCTGGGAAAGCAGTGGAGGACGGCCCAAAGCCTTGGGACCCTGCCACCCGTGTGGGAGACCTGAACTGGAGGAGCTCCTGGCTCCTGGCTTCAGATCGGCTCAGCTCCAGCTGTTGCGGCTACTTAGGGCGTGAACCAGTGGATGGAAGATCTTCCTCTCTGTCTCTCCTCCTCTCTGTATATCTGACTTTGTAATAAAAATAAATAAATCTTTAAAAAAATAAAAGGAAATTTAGCTATGGATTTGAAAGAGTTCTGGAGAGAGGAAGAGAGACAGGAAGACAAATCATCCATCCACTGGCTCATTCCCCTTATGGCTGTAACAGCCGGAGCTGAAGCCCCTCGGAGCCAGGAGCCTCTTCCGGGTCTCCCACGCAGGTGCAGGGTCCCAAGGCTTTGGGCAGTCCTCCACTGCTTTCCCAGGCCACAGGCAGGGAGCTGGATGGGAAGTGGAGCTCCCGGGACACGAACCGGTGCCCATATGGGATCCCGGTGCATGCAAGGCGAGGACCTTAACCACTAGACTACAGTGCTGGGCCCGATTGTACTTTGCAATTGTGTGTTGGATCGCAGAGGCAGCAGGCCGAGGGCTGCCTTGGTCTTACGTGTCCTTGTGGGGGACCACACCCCCAACCGTGCTGCTGGTCCTCAGGGAGCCCAAAGTAGAGGACCAGCAGGGGTGGGGTGGGCAGGGGCCTTGCTCAGCACAGCTGGGTTCCCACAGCGTCCCCTCGTGGCAGAAAGCGGGTTTGCCAGCCCCAGCAAGTGTGGACTGACCCTCACAGGGAGGCTGGGGGGACCCCGGAGGGCAGGTCCTGGCTCCCTTGGAATGGAGAGGGTGGGCGACCCCGGAGGGCAGGTCCTGGCTCCCTTGGCATGGGGAGGCTGGGGGGACCCAGAGGGCAGGTCCTGGCTCCCTTGGCACCTGGCCCTAATGGAGACCCTTTCGCTCCCCCAGCTCCCCAGCCACAGCTTCTGAGAAGAAGGCCGTGACCCCGGCGCCTCCCAGGCAGCCCTGGGAGCTGTCCAAGGACCAGCCGTACCTGTGACACCACCCCCAGGTGCCTGGCCCCGTCCCCAGCGGGGGGGGGGGGGATCTGCTTCTGGGCAAAAGTGACCTAATTTATGACAAAATACATGGACGTGCAGTGTTGCTTCTGGCTGTGCCCTTTTGTTTGTTTTTTTTAATTATCTCAAAGGTGAGAGAGATCTCCCATTGGCTGGCTCGCTCCCCAGGCGCCTACAGCGTTCGGGGCTGGGACAGGCCGAAGCCAGGAGCTTGGAGCTTCTTCCGGGTGTCCCACGTGGGTGGCAGGGGCCCCCAAGGACCTGAGCTGCCACCCACGCATCCCCAGGCCACAGGCAGAATGCGGGGTCAGAAGAGCGGCAGCCTGGACTTGAACCAGTGCTCATGTGGGGTGCCGGCACTTGAAGGTGGAGGATTAACCTGTTGAATGACCGTGTCCTTACTCCCGGGAGCCAGCAATTCCATCCGGGTATCCACGCGGAACCCCAGAAATAACGCATGAGCTGGGAGCTGGTTGGGGAAGTGGAGCAGCCCGGACCTGAACCAGGGACCTGAACCAGGCCCCGAGGCACCCCTCACGTGGGTGACTGCACTCCCTGGCGTGGCCAGCCACCCCTGCCACCCTGCTAGCCCATGGGTGGGTGGGGGGTGAGGCGGAGAAGAGGAAGCCGCCTAGGAGTGGGGCCAGGGGAGCACGCGCCTGGCCAGGCTGGAACCATCTGGAGCCCAGCGGCAGCGGGCCGCGTCAGCTTGCCCTGTGCCTGCGTGCCAGGTGCCACCCATGCACCCAGCTCAGGGCTCCCCGCCCGAGAAGGCCAGGAGATAGGGGGAGGTGGCAGGGTGTGCAGCCCCAGCCCCAGAGGGGGGGAGAGGGGCCACCCGAGACGCAGGCCACCGCGGTGGAGGGCTCCCGCGTGCAAAGTCAGAAGCAAAATTAGAGCCCCCTGCCCCATCCTGGGCCAGCGTAACCGTCCTGGGAGGCAGCAGACACTCCCCCCGACACACAGTCAGGCTGCAGTTGTCTGGGGGGCCCTGCTGGCTGCGGCAGGCGGGACTGTGGATGGAGGGAAAGGCAGAGAGGGCCGGCCGGCTTGGGGGGGTCCCTGCAGCAGGGTGCTGGACCAGCCCTGATCTCCCTGGGGTGCAATATGGGGGAACAGGGGGCACTGTGCCGGCTTGGGGGGCCCCTGCAGCAGGGTGCTGGACCAGCCCTGATCTCCCTGGGGTGCAATATGGGGGACCTGGGTGGGGGGCTGTGCCGGCTTGGGGGGCCCCTGCAGCAGGGTGCTGGACCAGCCCTGATCTCCCTGGGGTGCAATATGGGGGACCTGGGTGGGGGACTGTGCTGGCTTGGGGGGCCCCTGCTGCAGGGTGCTGGACCAGCCCTGGTCTCCCTGGGGTGGAATATGGGGGACCTGGGTGGGGGGCTGTCAGAGGACCCAGGAACCAGAGACGGATCATCCATTCCCTTGTTCACCAGACGTTGAGAACAGAAACCTGTTCTGCCGGAGCTGGTGGGAAATAAAAGCATAAAGCAATCGAGGCGGGTCGGTCACACACAGAATCCCAAAGGGGCCATGGGAGCTGCGGGGAGTGGCTGCCTTATAAAATAGATCCCCAGGCAACGACAACCTTTACGCCTTGTGGAAAGTAAACAGCCTAAGCGCACAGGCTCGCGGGCTTGGGTTTCCACAAGTTTCTAGAACAGACCTGGTCCCTTTGGGGGGGTGGGGGGAGGGCCCCTGGACGTGCGCTGCCCGCGTACTCGGAGACTTACGGCCGGCCGCCCCCTCCGGCCTGCGCGTGCGCCGGTCTAAGAGCGGATCAGTGCGCGTGCGCGTGCGCCGGTCTAAGAGCGGATCAGTGCGCGTGCGCGCGCGCCGGTCTAAGAGCGGGTCAGTGCGCGTGCGCGCGCCGGTCTAAGAGCGGGTCAGTGCGCGTGCGCGCGCGCCGGTCTAAGAGCAGGTCAGTGCGCGTGCGCGCGCCGGTCTAAGAGCGGGTCAGTGCGCGTGCGCGCGCGCCGGTATAAGAGCAGGTCAGTGCGCGGCGGGCGCGCAGCGGGCGGGCGGATGGCACGGGCTGCGCAGGGCCGGACGGCGGGCTGGGGCCTGGCCCTGCTGCTGCCGCCCCTGCTGCTGCTCGGCCTCGGGCTGCCCCTGCAAGCCGCCCCGGTGACGGCGGGGTCCTGGGCTCAGACCCCCGGTGAGTGAAGGGACCCCCCTCCATCGCGGACACTCCTCCCGCACGCACGTGGTGGTGGTGGTGGCGGGCTCCCCGGCTGCACCTGTCTGTAATATCCCCCCCCTCCTCACCACCACCCACCACCCCATGAGCACCTCCTGCCTGACCCGGGCATGCACGCATGCACGCACGCACGCATGCATGCACACCTGGCCTGCTCCAGTGTGTCACCTCCAAGCTACCCTTGAGCCCAGCGTGGGCAGCTTGACCTCTGCGCCTTCGCGGGGACGGTCCCCTGCCGCCCCCACTGCCTCGTCCGCCCCCTCCATCTCTCGCCCACCCCCCCCACCCCCCGCGACGCCGGACCTTTGAACCCCGTGGCCCCAGAAGTGACCAGGGCGGGGAGCGGGGTGGTCGGGGGTGGGTGGGGAAACAGCTGGGTACCTGACTCCCAAGTTCAGGCTCACCCACCCGCTCACCCCAGCTCCTCCCAGCATTGCCCTTCTCAGCCGGCCCCTGTGATCTCAACGCTTTGGACCCTCCATTGTGAAAGACAGGCTCTTTCTTTCCCAGGGGAAACTTTTTATTCACGCGTGTGTGTGTGTGTGTGTGTGTGTGTGTGCCGAAATGGTGGGCGGCGGGGAGGTGTGGGGGTCGCTATAGACAACTTTGGAAAGTGAGGAAGAGTCGTGTGTGGGTCCCTGCACCCCGGGTTCAGCAGGTGGCTGCGCTGCCCACATCACGGGACAGCCCAGGGGTGGGGGACGGACGGGGCAGGGCTGGGGGAGGAAGCCACTCCCCCAGGTTCCCAACACCCCCCATGGGCAGGGAAGGAAGCCGGCTCTGAGCCTGTGTGGAGGCCAGGAAGAGGGGGTACAGCCCCCCGGGGGTGTGGGACAGGCAAGAGGAGGAGGCCATGCCAGGACAAATGCTGTTTGCCAGGTTTGTTGCCTGCAAGGCTTCCTCCTGGGGCCCTCAGGCACCCACACCCCCCCCCCACACACACACACCTGCCTCCTGGCTGGCCCCCGTCCCAGGCCTGTGGCGGCAGACCGGGCCACCCTTCCGTGTGTCCTCCGGGAGGGCTCGGCTCTCTGCTCTGGACGTGGCCTGGATCTTGTCGTTGCTGGGCCCTGGGTTGGGCTGGGCAGGGTCGTGGGGCCGTGGCTCTGACCTCCGCTGGACATCCAGCCTCGGGGAAGACACATGTAATCTGTACGGGGGCGGGGGGGGGGCAGTCGTTTTTGTTTAAAGTTTTATTTGAAAAGCAGAGTTTTCCAAGGAGACTGGTTCACTCCACAGATGGCTTGCAACAGCAGGACCCGGGCCAGGCTGAAGCCAGGAGCTTCTTCTGGCGTGTCTTATATGGGTACAGGGACTTGGCCCAGCCTCCACTGCTTTCCCAAGGCTGTTAACGGGACCCGAAGTGGAGCAGCCGGGATTCGAACCGGTGCAGTGCTGGTCCCCAGCCTCATCTTCTTTAGTTATCAACTTCTGTGATGTGGGCCCTGGGATGATGGTTGCACCTGTCCAGTGGGGTTCCTGGCCTCACACCGAGTACAGATCGTCGTGGCCAGGTGTGGGACCCAGCGGGTCTCCTGATGGACAGTCCCCCCCACGCCCCAGGCTCCAGCCCAGGATCGTGCCCGCCCTCCAGCTTCCAGTGCCGCACCAGTGGCTACTGCGTGCCCCTCACCTGGCGCTGTGATGGGGACCAGGACTGCTCTGATGCCAGCGACGAGGAGGAATGCCGTGAGTGACCAGGGCACTCCCCCCGGGGTGGGGCTGGCAGTGGCTGAGGCCCAAGGAGGGACAGGTCCTGGTGGTCGGGGCCTGTGCGTCTGTAGGGTGGAACTGGCCAAGGATGCAAGGAGCCTTTAGCTAGAGGGGCGAGGCTGAAAGGGGACCAGGCGACTGGACCTGGGGAAGCATCCCGTACCTGACCCGCTCTGTGCCGCCAGGGATCGAGCTGTGCGCCCAGAACGGGCAGTGTCCTCCACCTGCCAGCCGCCCCTGTTCCTGCGACAACATCAGCGCCTGCCAGGGCAGCAGCCACCATCAGAACCTGCTCAATTGCAGCCGCGCGTCCTGCCCGCCCGGGGAGATCCGCTGTCCCGTGGGCGAAGCCTGTATCCCCCACAGGTGGCGCTGCGATGGCCACCCGGACTGTCCCAACGCCAGCGATGAGCTGGGCTGCGGTGCGTGGTTCCACCGATGCCGCCAGGCCGGGAGGGGCGGTGGCCCTGCCCTTCCCGCCACCCGCATCATTCTGGGCCTCAGTAACCCGTGACCTCTGCTTGTAGAGATGGGCAACACCCTCCAGGAGCGGAATGACAGCATTGCGGGCGCCCCTGTGACCCCAGCCACCATCCCCTCTCTCAGGAATGTCACAGCCGCCCCTGTCGGGTCCCAGGCTGGAAACCCAAGTGCCTATGGGCTTGTGGCCATTGCCGGTGAGTGGGCCAGACCAGCGGGCATGCTAAGTGGAGGGTGGCGGCTGCTTCCGGCATTGCAAACCACCCACCTGTGTCTTTGCCCGCCTCCTTCTTCCCACAGTGGTGCTGGGCGCAGGCTTGGCCGCTGCCGCCCTCTTCATGGTGTCCCGACTGCGAGCCCAGGGGCGGCTGCCCCCGGCGGGACTGCTGGTGGCCGTGAAGGAGAGACTGCTGCTTTCCAGGCCCAAGAACTTGCTGCTTTGACCATGGACTCTTGGCATGTGCCACGCTGGTGGCCCTAATATGGGCACGTGGCGTACAGCCAGGCCAGTGGGGGGGTGCCCCGTTCACTCACCCACGCTCACGCAGGACCCCGGGACCCAAGCTCCTGCAGACCTGAGGTTCCGGACCACGGCCAGAGCCGAGCTGATGCTGTGATGGGTGAGCCGGCTCCATGCCCGGACACTCCGGCTTTGCCCGCCAAGGGCGGTGATTAAACTTGGTTCGCAGTGTCTGGCTGCCTCTGGGCTTCTGTCTGCCTTGGCTGGGGTGTCCCGCTGCAGGGCTCCCACCCCCCCTCATGTACCATGCACAGTCTAGAAAGTGGGGGCATTTGGGAACCCCCCCACCCCCCGTGAAAGTAACTTTGTTTCTGCGCGTCTTTATCTGTGTGTGTCTTCGTATGTGTGTTTACCTGTGTGCATGTCTGTGTGTGTTGGGAAGAGGGGACACGCTCAGCTGGCCCTCCTGGAGCCCCACTCAAGGGTCCCTCCCTGCAGGACAACTGCCACGCGGGGAGCAGTGGGTACAAGTCAGCCGGAAACGGGTCAGGCCGGTCCTGTGGACCCACTGTGTGTTCAAAGCAGCCGCTGCGTTTGGCAATTTGCACTCCTGGGTTGTGGCAGCATGGTGTGTCCGTCCCATGTGAGGGTCCCCGGGGGGCAAGGGGTTCTAACCCTGTGTCCTTGGGGAGCGTGCCAGGCTGGAGTCATGGCGAACCCAGGACCGCCGTGAGCTGGTGACGGCGCAGACGGCCTGTGGGCACGGCTGGTGCCCGGGAGGAGCCCATCTTCGCAGACATAAGAATCTTTTTCAGATCCTCCCCTGCCAGCCGCTTCCTCATGGCTGGTTCTGGGCCAGGAGTCAGCCCATGTCCCAGACTGGCCTGGGTGCCCCTCCCCTGAGGCTGGCATACACGAGGGACGTGAGCTAGGTGGGCACAGGTGCCTGTTCCTGCTGGATTCTGAATGGGACGTTGGGCACAAGGCAGCCGGGAGGAGCCTGCATTACCCTGTGCCACCACCTTTCTGGGGCTGGGGGCAGATTTCGCATCGTGTGAAATTAACCATTAACCGTTTCAGAGCGGACCGTCCGGCGACATTTAGGGTCAAGCGTTGTGCAACCCATGTCCATGGTTCCAAAACATCTCACCCCCTCCCCTCCAAGAGAAAGCCCTGCCCCACCCCCAGCTGCCCTCTCCCAGCCCCTGGCAACCACACCTCTGCTTCCTGTCCTAGATTTTTTTTTTTTTCCTTGAATAAACGTGTATTTGAAAGAGCCACAGAGAGGGAGAGAGAGGGGCAGATGTATGCACTGATTCATTCCCCAAACGCTGTGACAGACAGGGCCGAGCTTGGTTGAAGCCAGGAGCTCCAGCGGGGGGCTCCCACGTGGGTGTGAGGGTCCCAGGCCCTTGGGCCATTCTCCGTTGCTGTTCCAGGCACCTTAACAGGGAACGGGATGGGAAGCGGGGCAGCTGTTGGCACTGCCCACAGTGGCTTCCACTCCCCCCACCCCCCAGCTGCCCTTCGCACACTTCCAGACTTGTTGTCATGTGAATGGCTGTCCCCTGCGTGGCCTCCTGTGTTCGGTCTGCGTTACGGAGTCCAGCACTCTCGTGGTGGGAGTCTGCGTCAGTGCCATGGCATGCGTCAGTGCCACTCCATGGCGCATGCTAGAACACATGGTGCCCATTCGTCCTGCAGCCTGATGGGCGTCTGAGCCGTTGTCCCCGGCTGTGCTGGGGCGGGGGGCGGGATGGAGTGGGGAACGCAGAGACAAAATGCTGTGCTCTCACCCAGAACAGGCTTTTTGGGTGTGTGTGTTGTAGACAGATGGAGTTCAGACATAACGAAACTGACATAGAAAAAAAAAAAATGATGGTTTCAATCTTGATGTGGCACGGTGGGTTAAGCTGCCACCTACCATGCTGGCATCCCGTAGGGATGTCGGTTCAAGCCCCGGATGCTCCACTTCTGACCCAAATCCCCGCTAACGCGCCTGGGGCAGTGGTGCCACTCGCATGCCAGACAGAGAACGTCCACCTGCTGTGTTGCTCCCCACATGCTGGTTGATTCCGAGCCGGGATTTGAACCTGAGTGGTCTGTTTAGGGCCGCCTTGTCCCTTGTGGCCGTGCCTAGCAGCCGTTCACCCCTCACCCCAAGGCAGACAGTCCCTGGATGTGTGTTGGCTACGTGGTTCCAGAGCCGCCTCTGGAACCTGGGGAGAGGGGATGTGTTGGCAGAGGAAGAGGGAGGTGCCAATGTGGGGAAGACGTTGGATGGGCCCTGGACCATGATGCTCTCAGCGGGCCTTGGCAAGGCCACATGGAACTTAGCCATTCACAGGCCCGGCACCGTGGCCTAGCGGCTTAAGTCCTCGCCTTGTGCACGCCTGGGATCCCATATAGGTGCCAGTTCGTGTCCCGGCTGCTCCACTTCCCCATCCAGCTCCCTGCCTGTGGCCTGGGAAAGCAGTGGAGGACGGCCCAAAGTCTTGGGACCTTGCACCCGTGGTGCGAGAAGCGCCTGTGGATGACAGCACAAAGCAGTGGAGGACGGCCCAAAGTTTTGGGACCTTGCACCCGTGTGGGAGACCCGGAAGAAGCTCCTGGCTCCTGGCTTCGGATTGTCTCAGCTCCGGCCATTGCGACCACTTTGGGGAGTCGGCCGGACTGTCTCTCCTCCTCTCTGTATATCTGAGTTTGTGATTCAAAATAAAGAATAAATTTTTAAAGAGATTAAGCTAAGTGGTTGTGATTTGATTTGATTGGAGAGGCTGAGCGGGAGGTAAGGATGAGAGAGAGTTCCTGTCTGCTTGCTTGCGCCACCCACACCTGCAGTGGGCCCGGGCTGGGCTGGAGCCAGGAACTTGACCTGGGGGTGTCGGAGACCCCATTGCCTGGATCTTCAATGTTGTGATGACAGCAGAAAGGGCAGGATCTGTGGACAGCTCCACGTAGGGTCGGTTCAGACCAGAGCGTGAGTGACCCAGGCCCAAGAGACTCTGCTCCAAGAACTTGGAGCAAGTGTTGGTAAGATTTTCCAAGTGGCAACTACTGAGCCAGAGTTGATGTGTTAGACGATGCACGCCCCTTGGTTCGGCCTGCAAAAGTGGGCTTTTAGGTAAGTTGGGTGGCCAATGCCTATTGCTCTTCAACACTGATTTAACTGGGGCCCGGCAGCGTGGCCTAGCGGCTAGTCCTGGCCTTGCATGCACCGGGATCCCATATGGGCGCTGGTTCTAATCCCGGCTGCTCTACTTCCCATCCAGCTCCCTGCCTGTGGCCTGGGAAAGCAGTGGAGGACGGCCCAAAGCCTTGGGACCCTGGACCCATATAGGTAGGAGACCTGGAGGAAGCTCCTGGCTCCTGGCTTCGGATCAGCTCAGCTCCGGCCATTGCGGTCACCTGGAGTGAAACAGCAGATGGAAGAGCTTTCCCTCTTACCATCCTCTCTGTAAATCTGACTTTCCAATAAAAATAAATCTTAAAAGTGAAGCGGCTGGGAATTGAACCAGCTTCCGGTTCACTCCCCAAGCGGCCACAATGGTCGTAGGTGAGCCGATCCAAAGCCAGGAGCTTCTTCCAGGTCTCCCACGCGGGTGCAGGGTCCCAAGGCTTTGGGCCGTCCTCCACTGCTTTCCCAGGCCACAAGAGGGAGCTGGATGGGAAGTGGAGCAGCTGGGACACGAACCAGCACCCACATGGGATCCTGGTGCATGCAAGGCGAGGATTTTCGCCACTAGGCTCTCATACCGGGCTCTCTTGTATGATTTTTTTATTATCTTTTTACAGTCTGGAAAAAATTCTCAACCTTCAAGTTAACTGCACACCATCACAAGGCGATCCAACACAGGCGATTTCAGACACTTGAAAACAAAAGGGGAACGTGATATAGATCAGTAAAACACGTCAGCAAGACGTCACTGACCATGCCCGCAGCTTACACTTCAGGGCCTGGGTTCGAGTCCCGGCTTGACACAGATCAGCCAGACAGACAAGAAGGACAAAGCCAAGCACTGACTCTGCAAAAATGCACGCTCGGGTGAAACAGGGAGCGCCTCTGGCTTCTTTCATGTCTTGGTCTGTTTAAGGGCATGCTGGCCTCGGTCACTTTCGCGCTGTGCCCTTCAAATGTTCTTGTCCCCAGAACTAACAGATAGCTGGCAGGGACCACCCTGCCGTCCTGCACACCCCATGATATTTTTTGTGCATCTGTCCACCTTGAACTCTGAAAACCCTGCCTTGCGTGTCCCTCGGCGTGCTGTCCTGCGGGGTAGGGGCCGCCCTACTGCCGAATCCACTTTCGTTTTCCTTGCAAGATTGCAGACTCTGCGTTCTGAACTTTGCTCGCTGCTGATACATCCTGGGGGTGGGGGGGGCTGCAGGTGAAGCTGACTTCCAGCCCTGGCCATTGCGCGGGCATGTGGGGCAGTGACCCTGACGCCCCCTCCCCGGGAAGATCTCGCTTCCCCCACCCCATCCCTGCGGTGGGGCGACCTTCTGAGTAAACAACACGTTCTGAACTCTTACGGCTTTGTCTTTGGGGTGTGCTTCGTCCTTCCTAGGAGGGGATGAGAATCGAGTTACAGGGGGCAGAAAAAAAAGTAGAGGGGAGAAGGTTGTCTGCTGGCTGCTTTCCTAAGCGTCAGGGGCAGGGCCAGGCCAAAGACAGAAGAAGCCACGGGTCTCCCCGCGTGTAGGTGGCAGGACCCCCGGGGCTTGAGCCACCACCTGCTGGCAGGCAGCTGGATGCTACAGCCGCTTTGTCAGACCACGGCTTCGCCCACCATGCGTTTAAGCGTTGATGTGTTATTTGTGGATAGGCAGAGGGGGCACTGGTTGTGCTTCGGGTGGTGAGGGGCAGGAAGGAGGAAGTTTGGTAACCCAGCAGGTGCCGCCCCTGGGGTGTGGATGTGTGTGGGTCCCAGCACCGTCCAGCTTTGAAGGGCAGGCGGGCGGGCGGGGGGTGGGGTGGGATGTTCCAGGCTTTAAGGGAAAGTGCGTGGTGCCCTCACCAGGGAACGCTCGCCCTGTGCCCCCAGTCGGGGGAACCTGCGGGGTGTGACCGGTCCCTGGGCAGTGCTGCGGGGATGGCCGTGGGATGCAGCAATTCCCCCAGCCCACTCCACCAGGCTCTGGCCTTGGAATCTGAGAACACACACGTCGGGAAGTAGCCCCCCTCACGCGCGCACACACACACACACACACACACACACACACACACACACACACACATCCGGAGCCACCACTCCTAGGCACAGGCTATCTTACCAGCTGCCTTTATACCGGGAGGGCGACGTCTTAACCACTGGGCTAACCACTTCCTTTTTTTATTATTATGTTTAAAGATTTATTTCTTTTTATTGCAAAGGCAGATATACAAAGCGGAGAGACGGAGAGGAAGATTTTCTGTCTGATGACTCACTCCCCTCAAGTGAGCACAACGGCTAGAGCTGAGCTGATGCGAAGCCAGGAGCCAGGAGCTTCTTCCAGGTCTCCCACGCGGGTGCAGGGTCCCAAGGCTTTGGGCCGTCCTCCGCTGCTGCTTTCCCAGGCCACAAGCAGGGAGCTGGATGGGACGCGGGGCTGCCGGGATTAAACTGGTGTCCAAATGGGATCCCGGGCGCGTTCAAGGAGAGGACTTTAGCCTTGCTAGGCCACGGTGCTGGGCCCGCCAGGTGCATTCTTTTGGAGCCTGGGTGGAAAGCAGAGCAGCCAGGACTGTGCAGGACGGGGCAGGAGTGGACAGGTGAGCAGTGGGCAGGCTGAGGTGCACAGCTGACTAGCAGCTGCCTGCCTGGGAGACAGGTGCATCGGGGGATGTCCCTGGGGCATTTGGTGTCTCAGGACCTCAGTCCGGTGCTTAAGCCACCTGGCGGCTCAGCATCTTCTTGGCTGGGGCACAGCAGGTGTCCACACAGCCGGCCGCACCTCCCCCCGCCCTTGCCCTGAAGTCTCTATTTCTGCCCGTTGGTTCCACAGTGCCATCTCCTGGCCTCGCGTGGTATTTCTCTGAGAAGGAATGAGGTCGCACCTGTCTGTATAAGCACACGGCTTTAAATGTTTCGTTTCCATGGATTTTATAGCTTTCTTTTGGGTTGGTTATACTTTTGTCTTATTTTTTTTTTTAAAAAGTATTTGGACCCAGCACTGTGGCCTAGCGGTTAAAGTCCTCGCCTTGTACGCGCCCGGGATCCCATATGGTCACCGGTTCTAATCCCGGCTGCTCCGCTTCCCATCCAGCTCCCTGCCTGTGGCCCTGGGAAAGCAGTGGAGGACGGCCCAAAGCCTTGGGGACCCTGCACCCGCGTGGGAGACCTGGAAGAAGCTCCTGGCTCCTGGCTTCAGATCAGCTCAGCTCTGGCTGTTGCAGCCAGAGAGTAAATCAGTGGACGGAAGATCTTCTTCTCTGTCTTTACTTCTCTCTCTATATATCTGCGTTTGCAATAAAAATAAATCTTTTAAAAAAAGAAGGGTATGTATTTGAAAGCGTTGCGAAGAAAGGGAGACAGCTTTTCCATCTGCCAACCTTCCAAGTGGCATCCAAGACCAGAGTGGAGCAAGGCAATGGCTTCAGTCAGGAACTCCATGCAGGCATCCCACAGGGCTGCAGGGTCCCAAGGCTTTGGGCCGTCCTCTGCTGCTTTCCCAGGCCACAAGCAGGGAGCTGGATGGGGAGTGGAGCAGGCGAGACTTGAACTCGTGCACGTATGAGATGCCGGCATTACAGGTGATAATTTCCCAACTATCGCACAGTTGCCGGCCCTCTGAATTTCTGGAATATCAGAGTCACTTGGACGTGGCTTTAGGGGTAAGACGGCGCTCTGGTGCAGCAGGCTCCCGGCTCCCTTGGGTGGGTGCTGGGGGCGGTCTGTGTCTCTGGCAGATCCCTGGTTCCTTGCAAAGTCCACCACCAGCAGAGGGCACTGTCCCCTTCATGCACCTGCTTGGACCTCAGGAGGTTTAGCCCTCAGGCAGATGTGCACCGGAGCAGGGACCCCAGCCTAAACTGGTCACTCCTTTACGCTGCCCACACCCGTCCCTGCCACAGAGCTTCGGGGTCACCTGCAGGGCACCCGTGCAGTGACCGCTGCTGGTAACCCGCAGTGTCAGCTCTCGGGTACCCAGACGCCTAGCCCTGGCCGTGGCTTGGGCTGCATTACTCGAGGTGGGTGCTGCGGGAGGTGAGGGGGGCAGGGGGGACAGACTGCAGTTCCGCGGTCCACTGCATCAATTCCTGTCCATGCAGGGCTTAATCCTGCCTTCCCCACACTGCGCATCCCTTGGCTGTCTCCAGCTTTCCTGGCCTTGCCCTCCTCCCTCTTGGGTTTTTTTTTTTTTTTCTCCCCAACCAGCTCTTTCTTTGGATTTTTACTTTTTTTAAAAAAAGATTTATTTATTTTATTTGGAAAGTCAGATACACAGAGGAGGAGAGGCAGAGAAGAAGATCTTCCGTCCGATGATTCACTCCCCAAGTGACCGCAACGGCCGGTGCTGCGCCGATCTGAAGCCAGGAGCCAGGAACTTCCTCCAGGTCTCCCATACAGGTGCAGGGTCCCCAAGGCTTTGGGCCGTCCTCCACTGCTTTCCCAGGCCACAAGCAGGGAGCTGGATGGGAAGTAGCGCAGCCGGGACTTGAACTGGCACCCAGATGGGAAGCCAGCACTGCAGGAGGCAGCTTAAGCTGTTATGCCACAGTGCCAGCCCTGGAATGTAAGACAGGGCTCTTTTCTCCACCAGTTCACTCCTGAAATGCTTACAACAGCCTGATTGGACCAGGCCAAAGTCAGGAGCCGGTGGCGGGAGCCCCAGGGCTGGGCCCATCACCTCCTGTCTTCTGGGATGTTCCAGAAGGAAATTGGGGCTCAAAACCAGCACTCTGTATGCCTCCTGGTCCCCCCTGTACCACCCTGCCCGGCTACCACTGCCTTGTAAAACATTTAACCAGAGAGGCAGAAAACTCCCATTGCACAGATTCGCTCCTCAAATGCCCACAGCTTGGCCAGCCTGGGGCCAGGAACTCCATCCTGGCTTCCAGTGGGACAGCAAAGGGGGCCCCCGTGTTTGAACCATCACCTGTTACTTCCTGGGTGCACACTGGCAGGAAGCCAGCGGAGTCAGGGGCGAGACCCAGGAGGCAGGAGCAGCTCTGCCTGCACCCCCATCTCCTCGCCTCGGGTGGGGGGTCTCCTCTCTCTGCACCTCCCTCCCCGGCACCCCCCCCCCGTGCCCCCGGCTATGCCAGCTCCACGCCTTCCTCCCCTCTCTAGCTGTTCTTTTCCTTGCCTCTTTCCCCTGTGTCCCTAACAGCTTCTATTGCCTTGTCTCCATGGAGACAGAAGCTCTAGCGCCTCCTCTTGTGGTCCTGCCCCCCTGAGCGTCATCTCGCCTGGGCTGGGACTAATGTCCCCCCTCGCTTTTCTGAGGGGCAGTGACCTGATCAGGGCTGACCCCCGTGGGAAGCCACCACGTGTGTTGCCAGGGGCCTGGCTGACCCTGAGCAACAGGGGTCGTGGGGACGAGCCCGGGTCGGCAGGTGCCTAGAGCCTGCTCTGTGATGCCCGGATGGGGGCGAGGGGCAGGCAGCTGGCTCAGGTGGGAGGCACACAGGGGGCTCAGCTAAGGCACCCTTGAGGGGGTCAGGGACGGGTCTGGGGTACCAGTGTGGGGCAGGGAGACAGCATGGTTGTCTTAGACCTCTGGGGGTCGGGGGTGGGGGGGGATGGAGAAGCAGCCATGCCAGGGACGCAAGTCTTCAGGTAGAAAATTCAGTTCAGGTTCAGGTTTTATTGGACCCCGTTGAGCCAGGGCGCACCCACCACCCGGCCCCAGACCGCAGGTGGCTCTGGCCAGCTGTGTGGAAAGATGGAGGGAAGGTGTGAGGAACCAAGGACGGGGCCGGAGACAGATCACCAGCCCTGCTGCCCCCTGGGACGGGGCCTTCCCTGTCTCCTGGGAGCTGACCCGAGGAGGCCCACCAGCCTTAGTCCCCCCAAAGACCAGGCTGCAGGAGGCCCGGCCAGTGTCCTGCTGGGTTATGTGGCTGCTGCGTGCCCGTTGGCCAGGCGTCCAGCTGCCCGGCTCCGGGGACCCTCGGTGTCCTCGGGGGCTGGCCCGGGCCTTCGCGCAGCGCCGTTGCTCAGCTGTGGGTGCCCCGCGGCCGGCTCGCCCTCGCTGGAGTCGGACTCCTCCACGTCGCTGCGAATGTCCTTCTCCATCTGAGGAATGGAGATGGGTGGGCGCGGGTGGGCGTGGTCAGGGCGGGCCTGGGTGGGCTCGGGTGGGCGTGGTCAGGGCGGGCCTGGGTGGGCTGGTCTGGGTGGGCCTGGTGGGCGTGGTCAGGGTGGGCCTGGGTGGGCGTGGCCAGGGCGGGCCTGGGTGGGCTCGGGTGGGTGTGAGTGAGTTCAGGTGGGTGTGGTCAGAGTGGGCCTGGGTGGGCGTGGTCAGGGCAGGGCTTGGTGGGCGTGGTCAGGGTGGGCCTGGGTGGGCGTGGTCAGGGTGGGCATGGATGGGCTCAGCAGGGCATGGTCAGGGTGGGCCTGGGTGGGCTCAGGTGGGTGTGGTCAGGGCAGGCCTGGGTGGGCTCAAGTGGGTGTGGTCAGGGTGGGCATGGATGGGCTCAGCAGGGCATGGTCAGGGCAGGCCTGGGTGGGCTCAGGTGGGTGTGGTCAGAGTGGGCCTGGGTGGGCTCAGGTGGGTGTGGGTGAGTTCAGGTGGGTGTGATCAGGGTGGACTCAGGTGGGTGTGGTCAGAGTGGGCCTGGGTGGGCTCAAGTGGGAGTGGTCAGGGTGGGCATGGATGGGCTCAGCAGGGCATGGTCAGGGTGGGCGTGTGGGGCTCAGCAGGGCATGGTCAGGGTGGGCCTGGGTGGGCTCAGGTGGGCGTGGTCAGGGCAGGCCTGGGTGGGCCTGGGTGGGCATGGTCAGGGCAGGCCTGGGTGGGCCTGGGTGGGTATGGTCAGGGTGGGCATGGATGGGCTCAGCAGGGCATGGTCAGGGTGGGCGTGTGGGGCTCAGGAGGGCATGGTCAGGGTGGGCCTGGGTGGGTGTGGTCAGGGTGGGCCTGGGTGGCTCAGGTGGACGTGGTCATGGTGGCCCTGGGTGGGTGTGGTCAGGGTGGGCCTGGGTGGGCTCAGGTGGATGTGGTCAGAGTGGGCCTGGGTGGCCTCAGGTGGGCGTGTGGGGCTCAGGAGGGCATGGTCAGGGTGGGCATGGATAGGCTCAGCAGGGCATGGTCAGGGCAGGCCTGGGTGGGCTCAGGTGGGTGTGGGTGGGCTCAGGAGGCCGTGGTCAGGGTGGGCCTGGGTGGGTGTGGTCAGGGTGGGCCTGGGTGGGCTCAGGTGGGCGTGTGGGGCTCAAGAGGGCATGGTCAGGGTGGGCTCAGGAGGGCATGGTCAGGGTGGGCCTGGGTGGGCCTGGGTGGGCGTGGTCAGGGCAGGCCTGGGTGGGCCTGGGTGGGTATGGTCAGGGTGGGCATGGATGGGCTCAGCAGGGCATGGTCAGGGTGGGCGTGTGGGGCTCAGGAGGGCATGGTCAGGGTGGGCCTGGGTGGGTGTGGTCAGGGTGGGCCTGGGTGGCTCAGGTGGGCGTGGTCGGGGTGGGCCTGGGTGGGTGTGGTCAGGGTGGGCCTGGGTGGCTCAGGTGGACGTGGTCATGGTGGCCCTGGGTGGGTGTGGTCAGGGTGGGCCTGGGTGGGCTCAGGTGGATGTGGTCAGAGTGGGCCTGGGTGGGCTCAGGTGGGCGTGTGGGGCTCAGGAGGGCATGGTCAGGGTGGGCCTGGGTGGGCTCAGGTGGGTGTGGTCAGGGCGGGCCTGGGTGGGCTCAGGTGGGTGTGGGTGGGCTCAGGAGGCCGTGGTCAGGGTGGGCCTGGGTGGGTGTGGTCAGGGTGGGCCTGGGTGGGCTCAGGTGGGCGTGTGGGGCTCAAGAGGGCATGGTCAGGGTGGGCTCAGCAGGGCATGGTCAGGGTGGGCGTGTGGGGCTCAGGAGGGCATGGTCAGTGTGGGCCTGGGTGGGTCTCAGCAGGCCGTGGTCAGGGGAGCCTGGCATGCTGTCGGGGCGTGGCCAGGCAGGAACTCGGGCCGGCATGGTGGAGCTGACCCGTGCTGGACCTCCCCGCCCCTCACCCCCACACCTACCCAGCCCTTCTTGGTGAAGCTGTAGAGCATGCGCAGGATGAGGCAGGACCAGAAGACGTGCAGCAGCTGCAGCAGAGCCAGCAGCAGGTTGAAGAAATAGTAGCCGAAGAAGGGGCCCCTGTTGACGATGGACTCGTAGTAGGTGGTGTAGAGGATCCTGCAGGGCACAGAGCGAGGGATGGGCATCAGCAGGCATCGGAGCCCCCTCAGGTCTCCCTCCCCGGGGTCACGCCTGTCTCAGGATGCTGCCAGCTCCACATCCCATCCAGCGCCCGGCTGATGCAGCAGGGTTTGGCCTGGGTGCTCAGACCTCTGCCAGTCACGGGAGAGACCAGGATGGGCTTCCAGGATCTTGGCTTTGGCCTGGCCCAGCCCTGGCTGTCGCAGGCACTTGGAGAGTGAGCCAGCGGACAGACAGTATCCGTCTCTCTACCCACCCCCGCCTCTCTCTCTGCCTGTTAGCTAAACGAAAATTCAGAGGCGGGGCCTGGCGCGATAGCCTAGCAGCTAAATCCTCGCCTTGCATGCAGTGGAATCCCTATGGATGCCGGTTCATGTCCCAGCTGCTCCACTTCGCATCCAACTCCCTGCCAGTAGTTTGGAAAAACAGTCGGAGACGGCCCAAAGCCTTGGGATCCTGCACCTGCTAAGGAGACCAGGAAGAGCCTCCTGGCTCCTAGCTTCAGATCGGCTCAGTTCCGGCCACTGCGGAAGATCTTCCTCTCTGATGTCTTTTCTCTCTGTAAATGTTTCCAGTACAAATAAATAAACCTCTTCCCCCTCCACCAAAGATTTCTTTATTTTTATTGGAAAGGCAGATACACAGAGAGGAGGAGAGACAGAGAGGAAGATCTTCCAGCTGTTGATTCACTCCCCAAGTGACTGCAACGGTCGGTGCTACACCGATCCGAAGCCAGGAGCCAGGAGCTTCTCCCACATGGGTCGGAGTCCCAAGGCTTTGGGCCGTCCTCCACTGCTTTCCCAGGCTACAGGCAGGGAGCTGGATGGGGAAGCGGACACGAGGCACCTGGGCGTGAGATGTGGGGTGTCCAGGCAGTGTCTCACCAGGCTATGCTGAGCCCCTGACCCCCCAGCACTCTTCCGTATTCCAGCTGTCCCCTCAGCCCTTCCCCATCAGCAGGCAACCTGACACCAGCCAGAGAATGTGCCTGAATGTCTTCCACCTTGCCACCTGTCACCATTTTGTCACCGCCGCAGACACACAGGGCGGTCCCATCCCGACATGCTGCCAGGGGCTGGTGCCCCCCGCCGGGGCCTGGTGCCCTCGCTATGGCCTCTCATCTCTGCTGGACGAGGAAGGGGCGCCCGCTGCCCCGCAAGGAGCCCCTCCTATGCCCAGGCAGTCCCTGCAATCCGTGGGGCTGGCCCGGTGCAGCCCGGCCTGGCCCAGCTGCCTCCTGGCTGTTCCCTCTGCAGCCACCAGCGCATGCACCCACGTGGCTCCCTTGGGTGGGTGGGGGGTCTCGGTGCTGGAGCAGCTGAGCTGGCAGCCCGACGGGCGCACACGGCCAGCTGTCCCCTGAGCTGGCAGCCCGACGGACGCACACACCTGTCCCCCAGCTGTCCCCCTGCCACCTGGGCTCTGCACGGCCCACATCCCCCGTCCCCCCACTGCCTGTGTCTCCCTGCGGCCCCCAGGCCCCCCACCCGCCCTCTCCTCAGCAGGGCAGGCTCACTGGGTGGGGAAGAGCACCAGGCGGGTGTAGAAGAAGACGAGGGAGAAGACCACGAAGAGCACGTCACAGGCCAGCCGGAAGCGAGTGTAGTTGAACATCTTGCAGGCCTGGGGAGGGCGGCAGAGACATTGCAGGGGGGAGGAGCCAGGAGGAAAGGGGCGGAGTCTCTCGCTGGGGACGGAGTCTCACCTCCCAGGGTTGGGGCTTCTCCCTGGGGCGGGGCCTCACACCATCGGGGGCGTGTCTTAGCCTCTCCAGGGGCGGGTCACACCATCAGGGGTGGGGCTTCATAGCCTCAGGGCGGGGCTTCACCTTGTGGGGGTGGAGTCTCACCTCCCAGGGGTGGGGCTTCTCCCTGGGGCGGGGCCTCACACCATCAGGGGCGTGGCTTCACAGCCTCAGGGCGGGGCTTCACCTTGTGGGGGTGGAGTCTCACCTCCCGGGGGTGGGGCTTCTCCCTGGGGTGGGGCCTCACACCATCAGGGGCGTGGCTTAGCCTCCCCAGGGGAGGGATTTCACATCTTCGGGGGCGGAGCTTCACCTTGTGGGGCGGAGTCTCTCACTGGGGGCGGAGTCTCACCTCCCAGGGGTGGGGCTTCTCCCTGGGGCGGGGCCTCACACCATTGGGGGCGTGGCTTAGCCTCCCCAGGGGCGGGTCACACCATCAGGGCTGGGGCTTCACACCATCAGGGGAGGGGCCTCACCTCCAGGGGGCGTGGCTCACTCCCTGGGGGCGTGACTCACTCCCTGGGGGCATGGCCTCACCTCTGGGGCGGGGCCTCACCTCCAGGGGCGTGGCTAACTCAATGGAGGCGTGGCCTCACCTCCAGAGGCGGGGCCTCACCTCCCAGGGGCGTGGCTTCACCTCCAGGGGGCGTGACTCACTCCCTGGGGGCGGGGCTCACTCCCTGGGGGCGGGGCCTCACCTCCAGGGGGCGTGGCCTCACCTCCAGCAGGTAGTCAGACGAGTCGTGCAGCAGCAGCACCAAGGAGCCGATGCGCAGCAGGTTGGCGCTGTAGGAGAAGGTGATGAGGAGGATGGTGACCAAGTGGTGCAGTACCTGCTCCTTGAAGTCCTGCGGGAGATGGGGAGGGGGATCACAGCTCGGGGGGCTCTCGGGGTGCCGCCCTGCCCCTGCGCTCGCCCCTGCAGCAGCTGCTCCCCTCCAGCTCACCTTGCGCTTGATGTCAAAGGGCAGTGTCATCACCAGCGAGATGTAGAAGCTCAGCTCCAGCAGGTACCACCAGTACAGGCCCGGCTTCAGGGCCTGCGCAGGGCGGGCGGGGGGTCAGCGCCCCAGCCACTGACCCCTGGGCCGGGTCCCCACACCCACACACACACACACACACACACACCGCAGCTAGTCCCCTGCTGGGTGAGGCTGGGCTGGGCACCCCCAGTCACTCACCTGTTCTGGATAATTATCCCAGCACATCACCGGTGCCCACAGCCACGACTCCTGCGGGGAGGGACAAGTGTCCGAGGTTGCACCAGGCCTGGGGGGGGAGGGGAGGACCCCTGGGGGCTCCCGGCAGGCTGGGGGGAGGGATAGCAGGTGCACAGCGGGGGGTACTCACATGGTACAGCACCCACGTGCCCCCAACGAAAGAGCACAGATAGAAGAAGAACCTCCAGCTGTGGGCAGGATGGAGCGGCTGAGGCCACCGGCCACCCCCGGCTGCCCCCGGCCACCCCAGGCCACCACCGGCCATCCCCGGCGTCCCCTCACTGGCGGCTGAGGCCACTGGCCACCCCCGGCCACCACCGGCCATCCCTGGCCACCCGTGGCCACCCGCGGCCACCCCTGGCCACCCCCAGCCACCCCCGGCCACCACCGGCCATCCCCGGCGTCCCCTCACTGGTGGCTGAGGCCACCGGCCACCCCGGGCAACCACCGGCCATCCCCGGCCACCCCTGGCGTCCCCTCACAGGCGGCTGAGGCCACCGGCCACCCCGGGCGGCCCTTTGCCCTCGGCCACCCCCGGCCCCCTCCCAGACTTCACCTGGCCTCGCAGAACTTCTTGGTCAGACAAGGCCGATCCTGGTTCCGACGGATCCGGAACCAGCGCTGAGTCTGCCGCAGGGTGAGGCCGCACTGGGCGGCCAGCAGAGCCAGCTGGGGCTGGGCAGGGGCCAAGCTGAGGTCAGAGAGGCCCCAGGAGCAGCAGTGTCCTCCACGACCCCTCCGGGGCCTCCCATGGGCCTCCCCTGGACCTTCCTGGCCTCCCCCGGCCCCCCCCACCCCCCCCGGCAGGGCATCTGAAGGCCTGGCCCCCTGGAAGGCAAGTGGGTAGGGCCTCGTCCCGGGGGCGGGGCAGCCAGGTGGACCCGCCATGGAGATGCCCCTTGGCTGGCCTCGAACCCGGCACACAGGGAGGCCGCTCACCTCCTCGGGTCTCGGCCCCGCAGCCAGGAAGTGTCTCTCCAGCGTGGCGTGGGGCTTCACCTGCCTCCTGCCGCGGTCGCGCACGCCCAGCCACCTGCTCAGGGGCAGGCCCACGAACCTGCAGAGGGGGGAGAAGGCGGCAGTGAGGAGGGCAGGGGCAGGGGGCGGCCGGGGGCACAGGGCAGGGGCGGCTGGGGGCATGGAGCAGCTGGGGCATGGGACAAGGGGCAGCTGGGGACAGCCGGTGCACGGGACAGGGGGCAGCTGGGTTACGGGGCAGGGGCCACCCCAGGCACAGGGCACAGGACATGGGGCAGGTGGCAGCTGGGGTACAGGGCAGGGGGCATCCAGACACGGGACATGGGGCAGGGGGCAGCTGGGGTACAGGGCAGGGGGTATCCAGACATGGGGGCGCAGGACAGGGGGCTGGGGCAGGGGGCATCCCAGGCACAGGGCACGGGACAGGGTGGGACAGGCGGCAGGGGCAGGGCTCTGCCTGCTGTCCAAGCAGGGGCCGAGCAGGGCAAGATGGGCACAGCGCCCAGCAGGAGAGGGTCAGCGCCTGGACCCGGGTCGCACTCAGCAGTCAACAACTGGTCAGCCATCATGGGGCCATGACCTCCCTCTTCCCCGAAATCACACTGGAAAATCAAACTATGAAGGCAGGAGTAGAACATTTTCAAGAGTAACCCCCAAAGGCAGGATTTGGGGGTGCAGCACACGAAGCTGCTGTCTGGAACCCCTCCCGGGTTGGGGTGCCTGCCTGTGCGAGTCCTAGCTACCGTGTTTCCCAGCCGGTTGAAGTCCTGTCAGCTCCACTTTCAATTTTGTCTCTCCCCCTGCCCACGCCCCCATAATTCTTTCAAGTAAAAATAAGTAACTTTGCAAGAAAAGAAAAGCTATATATATATATATCTTGAGCCTGAAGAGTTCGTATTAAAATCTAGAGGGAAAAATATTATGCATCTGTTGATGCGACAAATATATCCTGCAAAGAACCACATGCTAAACGCAAGACACAACATAATAAACATGACACTAAACTCCAGCCGAGGACCTGGCGTGGTAGCTTAGTGGCTAAAGTCCTTGCTTGGCATGAGCTAGAATCCCATATGGGCACCGGTTCTAATCCCAGTGGCTCCACTTCCCATCCAGCTCCCTGCCTGTGGCCTGGGAAAGCAGTGGAGGACGGCCCAAAACCTTGGGACCCTGCACCTGTGTGGGAGACCCAGAAGAGGCTCCTGGCTTCGAACAGGCTCAGCACTGGCTGCTGTAGCCACTTGAGGAGTAAATCAGGGGATGGAAGATCTGTGTGTGTGTGTGTCCTTTGTAAAAATCTGACTTTCCAATAAAAACAAGTACATTTTTAAAAACCCGCAAAAAAACCACTCCAGCCCTGACCTGGGGATGGAGTCACGTCCCTAGGCAATCCCCACGTTTTCCAGGAGAGGGCACCCAAGACCACACGGTGGGGATCCAGCTACCCAGCAGGAAGCTCAATGTCAGGGCAGCCCAGGGTTCAAGTCCCCCCCCCCATGCCCCAGTGGGTCAGGGCTAGGGCAAAGGAGGGGGTCTTAGAGGCAGGGATCCCTTGAGGTGAGTGATGGGGGGATAAAATGGCCATCAGGGACAGGTGGGGGACCATGGCAGTGTGAGGGGCAGGAGGAAGCCAGGGACGCTCCAGGCAGTGACCTGGCCTGGCGGGAGGACACTTACCTCTCGAAGATGACACGCACGGCCACCAGGGCCAGCGCCACAGGCAGTGAGGCCAGCAGGTCCCGGGGGTGAGCGAAAACCAGGCCATCGCGGTCCTCCAGCTGCGCCCAGGAGTTGTTGGGGGGCAGCCAGATGTGTTCCTGCCAGAGCCAGTCATTCAGGCTGGAGAGCATCCTGCGGACACAGAGCAGGTTCAGTGTCCACCTGCAGGCGCTGCCATCCTATAACGGATACTGGTTCAAATCCCGGCTGTTGCACTTCCCATCCAGCTCCCCTGCTAATATGCCCTGGGGAAAGCAGCGGAAGATGACCCCAAAGTCTTAGGTCCCTGCCTCCATGCGGGAGACTGAGAAGAAGCTCCTAGCTTTGGACCAGCCCAGCTTTGGCCACTGTGACCATCTGAAGAATGAAGCTGCAGGTGGAAGATCTCTCTCTCTCTTTCTCTCTCTGTAACTCTCCCTATCAAACAGAAATAAATCTTTTTCAAGCGCTTATCTTGCTGACCAGGACACAGCGACCATGCGAGTTGCTTCACACACTCACAGCTGTTTCTCCCTACACTTTCCAGATGCCAAACAGGTGACAGGAGACGGGGTGGGAGGCACACACCAAGGGAGGGCCTGCCTGGGATCATGGAATGAAGGCCCGACGTGTCCCACAGCTTTCCAGTCCAGGATGCTGCCCAGGCCAGGTGCCACCCCATGATGCAAGAGGCACACAGACCCACAGTCCCCCTCCCCAGCCAGTCCTTTGGGGGGGTGGATGTGGGGGCTGCCTGCTGGCTCGCTCACTAGCCCAGAGGCCGGCCGGTGGTTAGGAGGGGGCAGTGTGTCTGGAAGCAGCAGTTAAAACCAGCCAGATACGTCCTCCCCCTCCTTCCGCCCCTGCTTATTATAGCTCAACAAGTGGTTGAGCCCAGCACCTGCTGAGCACAGCAACAGGAAGTCATTTGCTCACAAACCGTCCACCCAGGGGGCCGTCTCCATCCACCTGCTCCCCCGGCATCCACCCAGGGCGGACGCCTCCATCCACCTGCTCCCCCGCCGTCCACCCACTGTCTTTCTGTCCACCTTTTCCAGACATCCGCCCGCATGGCCATCCTCCCATGCTTCCACCTGTCCATCCTTCCAGCTGTTTTCTCATCCTCTAGGAACCCATCATCTCTCTGCCAGTCCATCCTCCTCCATCCATCCATCCATCCATCCATCCTTCCACCCATCTGAACACCTGCCCACCCCACCCTGCACATCAATCCCGCTCCATGCATCTCCTTTCCTCCTCCATTTCTTTGGGGGGGGGCGGGTTTCCTGACCCGCAAGGCCCCCACGACCACCGAGCGGGGGCGGTGAGACGACGGTGTTGAGCTGCAAGAACCACCGAGGACGGTCTGAGTATGTCCATTTATTGTAATGCAAGTACAAACTTCCACAGATTTATACAGACCCCTGGCAGCCCGCCCACCCTGTCATTGGCTAAAAGGCACATCTCCTTCCCCAGATGCTCCAATCATGTCACAGGTCACACGCGACACTCACGCCTGGCAGGTAGGCTGCGGGTCACGAAAAGGTTGGCAGTTAAAGCGGACTGCACCTGACTGAGTTGTTTATCAAGGATGTCCCAACACAGCTTGTCCAAGGACAGGGAAGAGTGACCAGGGCGCTGCCCACCGCCCTCGTCTGTATGACCAGGCCAGGTTGAGGTTCCGGTTAGCTGAAACCATTGTCAGGAGTTTGCCCCGGGGACATGTGCAGGGTGTACTTCTGACCTGCCACACAGGCCAAGCAGGCCCAGATCGAGGGGCCACTCATTTATTTGTCCATTCTCCCATTTCCTGATCTTGTTACCTACCCAGCCATAAACGTACCCCTACATTTATCCATGCATCAGCCATCTACCCATCCAGGCAAGCGATGTCCTTGGCCTTGTACCTGCCAGGTAGGCTCCAGGATGCAGATAAGAGACGAATAAACAGATGTCTACAGGAGACTCCCAGGGCTGCCTGCAAAGGAGTCCATCAAAAATGGGCTCCTCTTGATCCGATGGTTCAAATGGCTAATGCTCCACCTGTAAGCGCCAGCAACCCATATGGGCGTGGTTTGTATTCTGGCTGCTCCGCATCCCATCCAGTTCCCCGCTAATGCATGTAGGAAAGCAGTGGAGGACGGCCCAGGCCTGCTTTCCCAGGCCACAATCAGGGAGCTGGGTGGGAAGCGGGGCTGCCGGGATACGAACCGGTGCCCATATGGAATTCCCAGTGCGTACAAGGCAAGGACTTTAGCCACTAGGCTATTGCGCCAAGCCTGATGGTATCAAATTCTCTCTCTTTTCTCTCTGCCTCTCAAATCAATGGAGCTATTAAATTTTTTTTTTTCCTCCAGGTCTCACACGCAGGTGCAGGGTCCCAAGGCTTTGGACCGTCCTCCATTGCTTTCCCAGGCCACAAGCAGGGAGCTGGATGGGAAGTGGAGCAGCTGGGACACGAACTGTCACCCATCTGGGATCCTGGTGCATAAAAGGAAGAACATAGCCACTATGTCAGGCCCAGCATTAAAACTCCTTAAAAAAAAAAAAAAAGAAAAGGAAAGAAAGAAGGAGACAGGGTCTGTGGAGTGGGAGAGAAGGTGCTGGTTGTAGGATATAGTTTCCGTTATTCAAAACATTCTACAAAGTTGCTGCAGTTAGCAACAATGTATCTGGGGCAGCCTTTACAGGAGAACTGAGGTTTAAAGTCATGCTGCTCTGGGCCGGGCGCCAACTAGCAGCTAAAGTCCTCGCCTTGAAAGCACCGCCGGGATCCCATAGGGGCGCCGGTTCTAATCCCAGTGGACCTGTTTCCCATCCAGCTCCCTGCCTGTGGCCTGGGAAAGCAGTGGAGGACGGCCCAAAGCCTTGGGACCTGCGTGGGAGACCCAGACGAAGCTCCTGGCTCCTGGTTTCAGATTGGTTCGGCTCTGGTCGTTGCAGCTACTTGGGGAGAGAGAATCATCAGACGGAAGATCTTCCTCTCCGTCTCCCCTCCTCTCTGTAACTCTAGCTTTCAAATATACACATGTATATATTTTCTAACAGCCTATTATATATTCCAAAGTGTGTACAGAACACATTTTAAGTGTTCTCATCAGGAACAAAATTACATAGCTAAGCAAAATGGTGTGTGTGTGTGTGTGTGTGTATGAGTTTCATTTAGGTACTCTATGGGTTTTGAGACTTTTTTTTGGCCTCAAACTAAACTTAGTTTTCTAAAAAAAGAAATTTATTTATTCGAAAGGCAGCGTGACAGAGAAAGGAGAGGCGCACCAAGAGATTTTCCATTAATGGGCTTCTTCCTCCGAATGGCCCAGAGAGCCAGGGTTGTGCCGCCTGAAGCCAGGGGACAAGGAGCTGTCTCTGCGTCTCCCACGGATGTCGCAGGGGCCCAAGCACCTGTTCCATCCACCACCTGTTGCCTCCCTGGCTGGGACAAGATGCCCAACACGGCAGGCTGCAGCTTAACTGGCTGCCATCCCAACATTAGTCCTTCCATTTTTTTTTAAAGATTTATTTTATTTTTATTGGAAAGATGGATAGACAGAGAGGAGGAGAGACAGAGAGGAAGATCTTCCATCCGATGATTGATTCACTCCCCAAGTGAGTGCAACGGCCGATGCTATGCTGGTCCAAAGCCAGGAGCCAGGAGCCTCTTCCGGGTCTCCCACACGGGTGCAGGATCCCAAAGCTTTGGGCCGTCCTCCACTGTTTTCCCGGGCCACAGGCAGGGAGCTGGATGGGAAGCGGGGCTGCCGGGATTAGAACCGGCGCCCATATGGGATCCCGGGCATGCAAGGCGAGGACCATCAATTTTTTGTTTAAATTCCATTTTTGTGTGTGAACTTTTGGAAGCACATGTTTAGGGGGTGTTGTATGTCATGGTGGGCAAGCATTTGGGATGTTTATACCCCTACCAGGTCCCAGGGTCAAGTGCTAGGTCCACTCTTGATTCCAGCTTCCGGCTAATGCATACCTTGGCAGGCACCATTGATGGTTCAAGTTCTAGGACCCCTGACCGCTCCCGTCTGGCAAGCCTGGATGGCACGCCTGGCTTCAGTCCTTATCTTGGCCCTGTCCTGAAATTCATGAGCATTTGAAGCAAAGGGGCGTAAATCAGCAGATAAAAGATCTCTCTTGGGGTCAGGCGTATAACTTAAACCTCTCTCTGTGGTGCGAGCATCTATATGGTCGCCGGTTCGTGTCCCGGCTGCTCCACTTCCCATCCAGCTCCCTGCTTGCGGCCTGGGAAAGCAGTGGAGGACGGCCGAAAGCCTTGGGACCCTGCACCCGCGTGGGAGACCCAGAAAGAAGCTCCTGGCTCCTGGCTTCGGATCGGCTCAGCTCTGGCCATTTGGGGAGTGACTAGGTGGATGAAATTCTGTCTTTCTTATCTCCATAAATCTGACCTGCGTTTCCAATAAAAAGAAATGTCTTTAAGTTTTAAACAAAAGTAAATAAATAAAAGAAGTAAATCTTTTTTTTAAAAATCTCTTCAATAATTAAAGGAATAAATTTCATTTATTAAAAATAACAAGAAAAAAATATGGAAGACTCTGGTGAAAAACAGAGGCTGAGCGGGCAGGCGACGGGGAGGAACGTTGCACAGCCCATTTCTGTGCGATTCAAAAGCCAGCCCAGCCACCGCAGTGTTTATGTTGGCTTCCTCCGGGTGGTAAACCTTGCAGCTTTTAGCAGCGCTGGCCCCTTCATCACCAGGGAGGGCAGGGCAGCGCCATCCTCTCTGGAGGAGGCTCTGCCAGCAGAGGGTTCCGGGTCCTGCAAGCCAGAAGCTCTAGGGGCGTCGGCAGCCCCTTCCTCTGTGGTCTCCCCAGCTAGCAGCATGAGCCCCTTGGAGACACTGGAAGAACAGGCGGTGTGAGCTAGGAGACTGGGGAGCACGAGCAGCTGACTGGGGACCTGAAATCCACCTGCAGTGGGCTAGGGGTACGTCTGCGCGAAGCAGAGGGGACCAGGGAGGCGTTGGGAGGTGAGGTGGATGATTCCCCCCAAGTGGGGAGACTCCTAAAGGAAGCAGAAGTCGCTGAGCTCTTGAGTCCAGGGTGGGAGCAGGCGTGCCCTGTGTCACTCAGCCCCATGAGGTGGATGGGGTACCTCCCATCGCCCTTGGAGCAACGCCTAGCGCCCCC